TAACAGAAATAATAAATAAGGTGATATAATATGTTGGTACACATAGTAACTCACAATGTTTAAAAAAAATGCTGAAAATCTTTATAGGAAAATAAAAATTAACCTTATTGTTTCTCTAGATGGAGTTTTTAAGAAAAAAAAGAAAGTTGATTAGAGAAATGCTGAATTCATCCATTTTTCTCATGACAATTCAGTGGTCGGAAGTAGCTATTGTATTCGCTATTATATTTTGTTGTTACTCGATTAAACTTGTTTCTGAGAACAAGTTAAAAAGGCCAAAAGCATTAGTTTAATTCTAAGAATCTGAACCTATTTTTAACTATTACTTGTAAACTTTGGTTTCGTAATTATTGATATAGAAAGCACCTTGTGACAGATTTACTGAAATTAATGAAATATTTAACAAAAAACGGTTGAGTTCCCTTTTTTCTTTTTTTTAGTTGATTTTTTTAACAGTTGCTAACACATTTTTAGAAGGAATAAAAAATCAAATAAACATAGTACTACATCCTATTAGGGTCGGGATAGCCAGGTTGGTAGGGCGCTGGGTTCGAGAGTTCGTGGGTTCGAACCCAGCCGGCCGAAGACTCCCCGTGTAGTAAAGTGACTGCTGCATGTTAAATCTGTCGAGTCGCAAAAGTCCTCCATGTTCCCATAACCCTCCATGTTCCCATAACAAGTCAATACCTCTGGGGGTACTGGATTGGAGATCGATCGCTCTCTGATTCAGGTCAAAATTACGATCTGTGGATGGGATGGATGTATGAATGGGTCCGCCCTATAAACGGGTGTGACGCATGGTGTGGTGGAAGTAGAATTCTTGACCATAGATGGGGCCACTGGAAAACAAGAACAATCGCACCCTCTCTGCTTAAACAAGCATACGTCATAAACAACAACTACATCCTATTGAAGAAACTTTTAATAAAAAAAGTGTGTACCATGAGTCACGTGCGCATAAAAACAACGCTTTATTCCAATTAGTTTGTTTCATCTTAATTTTTATTTTTCTCTCATGGCTCTGCGTTTAAAAAAAATCTCATTTTAACCAGCAACCTTCCCTCCATAGCACTCCATATAAGTTGCTAGTGTTTTACTTTTTTATAAGGAAGCAATGCAACAGGGGAGCGAAAGTTCGCTGAAATTTGAGTTATGACGATGTCTTAATGCGTTCTTAACACTTCTCCGTAAAAATGAACTAGATAAGACATTGCTTTTCCAAAACGCCTTTATAAGGGATGTGGTTAGCATTGATAAAAGGTTCACTGAAAAAAATTCTCAGAAAAACTAATAGAAAAATCTCCGCCGGAAAGTCTGGAGGAAAATTTAATCTCATTTCATTTTCTTTATTAAAAGTTCCACATGTTATTATTATGCGGAACAGAACATTTAGTTTCGAGATTAAAAAATGCCTGCAATAGAATTTGATAAAAAAAAAAAATAATAATCTGCTACGCCCACCATCGGGTTACTGAAGTTTAAATTGCAGTAATCTGTGCTTCGCCGTTCGTAAATAACACAGAAGCCATGCATATAAAAATTTATTCCAGAGCACAACTTTTCAGTTTTAAACGTTTAGTTTTTCAGTTTTTTTCTTCTTTTTTTTCCTAAATTTTCAGTGCATTGCTACATTTTTTAAATTTTTTGCCTTAAAAGAGAAAGACAGAGAGAATAATTTTTTTCGCGTCTGGGGAATTCAAGGAAATTAAGTGGCTATATTGTAACCGAAAGAATAAAAGAATAGATTTTCAATTATTTTATGGTAATTAACAAGTATTGCCTATGTATTTATCTTTGTTGAACCGTGAAGTTTTCGTTTTTCTATTCTCTTTATTGTCTTTTCATCGTTCATGACCCAGGATTTAATTGTATTTTTTGTATTTTCTCTATTTTTTCGTTCTTTTTCTTCCGCAGATTTGGTTTTTTTCCATTTACTTTTACGTAACTTACAGCTTATACTTGTTTTGAAAACTGATTTTATTATTTTCCTATGAAAAACTAATGAATAAAAATTATTCTTGCTAATATTTTTCTGAAGGGAATTCGTGGTACTTTCATTGCCTAAAATATTTATATTATGCACTTTAAAAATACTTTATTTCCAAGAATGATAACTCAAAATCAATTTTAAATATTTCGGATACAGATTGATACCTCATATATTGATTAGATAAATATGCTTATTTTAGCGAAGATGTATAATAATACTTTAAATACCCACCAAGAACCATGTTTGTATTCCCCTCTGACAAAGGAACGTTCTACGTTGTTTAACCCTTTATAAGGCACTTTTCATCAACTATGTTTGTTTTTAAATGTCGAGGGCAATTCTCCCACCTATGACTAGAACAGCCATTTGCTGATTGCTTCAGAAAATATAAAAAATGCCAATAAAGGGCTTTGTTTACATAAATATGCGTAACAGTAAAAGTTCGCATGGAGTCAAATAGAGAGACCAAAACTGAGAAGCTACTCTAGTGCTTTGTTTGTTAGCTCTTTTGATCATTTCTCATCGATTTTATTTGTAGTTATAATCACAAAATTTATAAACTTAATTATAAGCACAAAAGTTTTAGGTCAATTCTTACAACAGGTTGAATTTTGAAAGTGCCATCCACCAAATAAATCGTGTTAAATATCAAATTAATTTTGGGTAATGGGATGAAGGATTTTTTTTATTTATAAATCTCAATCCAAAATTATTTTAACGTATATTACTGGAAAAGTAAAGACAATATAATGGTTTAAGGCAAGCTCTCTTCTGGGAAAGTGAATTGTTTAACAACCATTGGGCAAAATATTAAAAGCAGTTATTTCTGTTTCTTTGCCCGAAAAATTTGATAAAAAAAAGGAAAGAAAATAAGTTACCCACAGTGGATTCTTTAATGCATTTTTCCTTTAACAAAGGAGAGCGTTATATCGTAAGTGATAAACATATACATTTTAATTTATTAAAGTTTTTTTTTCTTTTTAAATTTCAAACAGTCAATCCAAAACTGTTGAGAAGACATGAATGTGAAAGTGAAGTTACACAGTCATTTGTGAACTTTAAAGTTTTAATATGCGATGTTTTACCTTCCCTTAAACTTACAATTAAATGCGTCAATAAACAGGCCAAAAAGTTTCTTTAAGTCAATAATTTCATTTGGATAATGCTATGAATTATTTTTTTACTTTATTAACTGGTAAATTTTTTATATAGATTAAAATATAGGCAGATTTTTCAAAAAAAAAATAATAATAATTTAATAGCAGAGTTAACCGGGACAAAATATTCCACGCGTTGAACTACAGTAGATGAAAAATATTTGTTACTACGTTTTTGTTTCAAAAATGTGGTATAATTGTTGGTTACTTTGTTTTAATTTACTCGCTTTCGTGACTTTAAAGTTGGAATCTTGCGATCAGAATTCAGCTACCTTCCGACAAAATAAAATCTCATATCTTTACTGAATCTTCGTGCTTGATGGCCAAGCAAATTTAAATTTCAATGCCAATTTTCTGACGACAGCAGACAGAATTTATAGTTTTATCGTCAGGTAGAATTTATAGACAATTAAATTTTTTTTATCATTCTTTTGCTAACTAGAATGTTCAAATCTAATCGGGAACTCCATTTCTGATGAAAAACAAGTTACAATTTCCCAGACCACTCAAACAGAATTTATCATCAATCGAAATTTCGATTTCCTTCCGACTAATTCATTTTAATTCTATCAGAGTGATCAAATTGAATTAGAGCTCTTACTTGGTGAATAATTTTCCCGACCACTTAAGCAGTATTTATCGTCAATCGAAATTTCGACTTCTTTCTGACTAGTTAGAGTGATCAAAATTGAACTAGAGCTCTCGCTGGGTAATAATATTCATCACAGATGTTTAAATCATTCATTGGCTTCTTGAATATTTACAAGCGGCAGTTATTGCTAATCGAAATCGCAAAAAAAGTTTTTGCAATATAACACACAAATAAGTTATTATATTTATTTATAAACTACCCTTTTTAAGTAGTGTAAATAAATGGATATTGCGTTTTTGTCACAAAAAAGAGAGACAAAAAAAAAAGAAAACGTATGGCACTATATTATTTCTAGTTTGTCCAATATCAACATCTTTTTTTTTTTTAATCACCGCTGAAAATTTCCTGCTCTGTTTTTGAAAGTGATACCTTGCGTTTTTCGTTTTATATCTGAGAAAAACATTGTTATTTTCGCTCTTCTTTTCCATTTGAGAAACGCAATTTTTTTTCTTCATTTTATTACAAATCTATCGTTAGTTCATATGCTCTAAATCCGAAAAATGCTATGATATTTTTTTTAAATAATTTTTATTTATTTTTATTTTACTTTCTAATATATATTTTCTATAAATTTCCTTTTTACCTAGAGCGAAAAAATAGCTCATTTCTAACTTTTCCTTAAAATATACATTTTATTTTGTTTTATTACTGTCTATGGTATAGCTTGTTCTCGAAGCAATAAACGTTCTCCTTATTTTTCTAACTTCCGAGCAAACTCAGAAAACAAAGGAACTCTTGAGTCCAGTACCATCGGGTCAAACTATCTTTTATTGCAGACTAAATTAATCTCACATTTTGTAAGAGCAAAATCTTTCCATGATTAGCCCCACAGAAACGAGACTCTAATAAAAGAATATTCTTTTGTGTGTTCAGGGAAATATTTGCTATAAGTTATGATTCAAAAGCCAAGAAAAATATGCAAAATACATTGTACTAAGCCTTAAAAAAAGCACCACAGAAACGAGACTCTAATAAAAGAATATTTTTTTGTGCGTTCAAGGAAATATTTGCTACGAGCTATGATTCTAAAGGCAAGAAAAATATGCAAAATACATTGTTCTAAGCCTTAAAAAAAATTCTAACCAAGATTTTCCAATTCAAATCAAACTCTCGGTTTACACCTGACAATAATCCCCTCAAAAACGCTTCCTTTCTTAATTCCAATAATATACAGCTGTTCGAAGATTAGACAAAGAGGATCACGGGCGAATGCCCTTGGCATCATTTAGGATTACTTGGCGAAACTAAGGATGTAAACACTCCAACCCTGTGAGAGCGAACACACGAATCTTTGAAATCATGTTTTAGAACCAAAACGCAACGGATACGGTGCATGATGCTGCGGCCTCAAAGTTGCCTTTTTAGAAAAATTATTTTATTTCTTGTAGATGATAGTTGTGGGTAGACATGTGTTTTTAGAATGATGCTTAGCATATGTGACTCGGATCTTTGGTTGTGGAAAGTTGGAATTTCTTTTTTTATATAAATTTTAAAGTGACTTGTAGCGTCTCAACAGTAAAGTTTTAAGAGAATCTTATTGGAATGATTTAGACAACTTGAAAAGAATAATTCATGTAAGTATTTGATTAATATCTTTTGAGCATGGTATAATAGTAGTTTATTAAAAAGAAATTTACGTTACTTTGAATTATTTCAAAGCATTCAGTTACAAACTGGAATTTTGAGTAAAAACAAATGTGGTTATTTCATGTAAGATATTATTTAATTCTTAAGATTAATTTAAAGAATTGTAAGATTAATTTAATTCTGAATGAATTGTAAAAAATTGTTCTAATTTAATAAGTGCAAGGTTGTTGAAAATAAGAAAAAAGCATTATTTTCAGTTTTTTTTAACAATGATAGAGCTGTTTAATAACTTAAAAAAAGGATCTCAAAATTTATTAACTCAGTTTCTGATTAAATTATTCTTGTTTCAATTTTATAAAGTCATATAGTTGCATCTATATTAACTCAAAAAGGAATTTAGAAAGCAATATAAAAATAAATCACATTTTTAAATGGTTTTGAAGAGCGTTTTTGGAGAGAAACACCAATATTTCCATTTTTCTATTATGCATTAAGGGGAAATTCTGGAAACTTGCATCTATCAGAAAACAATACTAAGAAACAATTAGATGTAAAAGAAAAATCTCCTAGGAAACAAAGTGTGGCTTATTTTCATATTTTCTTAAGCTCTTCCTGTAGTAAAACTCTAGTAGTTCGGTGTTAAAAAACTACCTAGATGAAGCGAAGTTTTTTAAAAAAAAGTTAGGCGTATGCTTTTCCAATTCTTGAAAAAAAGGAAAAGAAATATGCTGTAATTTTTTTTTTAATATTCCAGTGTATAAATTATCAATTCTCATGTATCTACTCTTAATCCTTTTACTCAACCATAAGATTTCAGATAAACAAGAGTTTTGTATTCACATCTGACCAAGTTTCTAACAGCTCTTGATTTATTTACCTTGAATCTGTATTAGTTTTGGAGTATTAAAAAAGATTTCTTTGAAATTTGCATTCTATTTAATCATAGAAAAATATTTTCGTATCAAACTCTTGAAAGCCGTTTATAAATACTAACCTTTCGAATTGTTGTAAACTTTTAGTATTTTCAACAAAATGTAATTTTTCTTACCATCTTATTTTATATGCTTACTGTCATTATGGTTCACAATGGTTTACTATTTTTGTTCTGTGTTCGGGCATGGAAAAATATTTAAATAAGTGTAAATGTTTTAAAACCTAAAAATGTATTCACAGTTCTAATAACTAAATCAAAAATTGTTATGCCTGTAAGATTTATTTAATTGGTGCTTTTACATCAGAACATTTTTAATCGTTTTGAAATATTCAAAATAGATTAATGACATTTTAATTGTTTGCTTTTTTTCAAAAAAAAAATAGACTTGGAAATGAAATCGTTTGCATGTTGCAAAATTAAAGATATTGTTGCTTCATTTTTTAAATGCAATACCGAATTAACATTAAATCAGTTGAATAAATTGTGCACTTTTAATTTTTATTACGAAATTGTTCAAATTAATTTCCTACCTTATGTAACAGAAGTTTATTAGAACGTAAAGCAAGCCAAGCAATGAATTCTATTATTAAGTAATATAGTTAGAGTAACCGGTTGAGATTAAACTTGACCTTGATGAAACTTTCAAATGATTTCAAAGTATTTCTTTTAAACTACGTGAAATTAAATCATTGTATTGGAGAACCATTTCATATTAAGAGGTAGGGATTCACGCGTAAATCTTTAGAAATATATAAATATACCATATAATATACAATATGTTTTCAATAAATTTTAAGTTTCATTTTAGAAAGAAAATTGTAACTGATTGACGCAGAATTTTTACTAAGCATGTTCTTAATACTTTTTTTTTTCATTATTCTGGCGTTAATTTAGATCAAAATAAGTGAAAAATATGATATTTAGCTTTGTAATAATTTATGATAGTCTTTTTCTGCGTTATAGGCTAAAATTTTCCAAACACTACTCAGTTTTATTCACTCACACTCTACTCAGTTTACAATATTTTTCAAATTTGCGCTTATTTAGATCTAAGAAAAACAGTTATTCATCATATTGAAATTTCTTTTATTTACAAAATCAATTATTAATAAATATTTGAATATGAATAAAAAATTTCAAGCAAATTTTTTTAAAATTTTGTATTTTAGTACAAATATTATTCCGATAATCCAACTGATTTTTTTAGTTACTGTTTCTTATAACTAAACAAATAACAAAATATATTTTATTTGTAATTAGAGAGTCAGGAAAAAGTATATAAATTTGACACCGGTGTCCCATCTGCGTCAAAGGGTTTAAAAAAAGCAAAATCTTCGATTTCATAAATTTTTAGCAAATATTTTTACGATAAAATTTTTTTTTAGTAAATTCAATGCTTAACTGTTATTAAGCGATACAGTATAATACTTGGCAATTACGTGCAATTTCGACATAAAATAAATTTGATCTTTTAAGCTCTATTTTGAAAAAATGCTCTTTCGGTCGAAACAAAGTATGACCAATAGTGAGATAAGTAATGTAATTAATAGATTGATAGTAATGAGATCTTTTTTTCTTTTTTTTACAGAAGAATCCCTAAATTTCAAATTTTAACTGAATTATTCTCAATGTTACTAAGGCCCAATTTTTCACACATTTTCTTTTCCATTTTTTTTAATGTTATCAATGGCTAACTATATTGAAAATATATGTTGATTTTTAATCATGTTATGAACAAAACATTATAGCTTCGCTAATCCTTCACAAGAAAGTCTTCTAACTGCCCCCCCCCCAAAAAAAAAAGTAGAACAAATTCCCAAATGCTTATATAAGCATGGATTTATGAAAATATAGTAAATTATTTTTGTTGGAAAATGCCTATTTATTAGTTTTATTTATTGATAGAGAGATTTTTTTTTAGTTTTAAATAAGGAACAGAAATTTGAAAAGGAAAAAGCAAGTATTTAAAAATTCAGATTGTTTTTTTTTTATCATAAAATTGCATACATTCAGAGTTTATATTTAAAAGGAATAAAAAGAATCATACTTTTAAATCACTTGATTCAATGTTTAAAATTTAAGCCAACTTTTTAATGCCTATTCTTTTTAGTTTCTTTTACTCTTTAGGTTGAAAAAGATTTTAAAAAGTAAATATTTACCCTATTTAATAAGCTTTATTGAAATTTTAAAGTCACTAGTCTGTAAAATAATTATTTTATGATTGCAGTTCCTTTTAGTTATCTAAATAAGAAACTTTATCAATTTTATCAAAACTAAATCTAATTTTAATTAAAGAAAATCAATTGGAATTAATTCTAAAAATCTGTTGAAATTCTATAGATTAAAAAAGCTTTATTATAAAAAAAAACTTGTAGTAATTATATCTATAGAAAAAAATTTGTTAATAACCTTTGCTTTTTGAGAATTAATCTTTTCAAAACGTTACACATAATAGTTTTGCAGATTATGCTACTGAATCTTGTAGGTTACGTGCTATTTGGTTAAAAAAAAAAGTAGCTTTGGTTAATGAATGTGACTTGATTGTATTCATTAAAATTTACAGAAAAAGTAGTTTTATTATCAGTAGATGGGCAATATGCCTTGGCCGGAATACTAGTATAATTTAACATACATTGATGGAAATTTCAACAATGCATATCCTTTCTTTTCATGAAATAACTCTGCATCCGACTTGCTGGCATTCGTCAACGCTTGTTCCAACAATGCATTGGCGGATATATATTTAATTTCAGGGTCTCTGCAAATATTTGTTTCTGTTAATGCATGCTGAAAATGATGCGCATTTGCGAGAATTTTTATGATTTCAAGTTTTATGACATATTCTTATCTTTTTAAAACCTTAAAATGAAAGTAGATAAATAGTATTGAGAATAGCTATCCTCTTTTTTCATACCAATCTTATCATTGACAACGGATGGAATTTTATGGGAAGGCTTAGCTGCAACTAAATCATAAAGCAATAGGTGATACTCAAAGAGTTATATTATTTCAAATTTTATCTTTTGAAGATAATGCCATTCCTGATTATGAAAGTATAGTCGTTCTTGAGATCGTGTAATTTTGTTTGGAAATGCAGTTAATGTACAGAAAATCGTTAATATTACTTTAATGGCTTTCGCAAAACACAACCTAATGACTAGTGCAGAATAAGGATAGAGAACAAGGTTGCACTTCAAAATAAGTTAGTCTACTCCAAGGTATACTGCAAAAAAATAGTGAATAATTGCGGTTATTTTTGGTGTATAGGTAAACTAAATGCATTTTTATGTACAGAACTTTAAATGTCGTTCAGAAAATTTAACAAAATAACTACTGCTTGAAAGAATTAGAGCGAATATAAAACAAAAATTTCACTTGTTATTTTTAAAGAAATGTTTTTGCAGTGAAATAATAAATTGATTTTAATGAGCATGAAAATATATGTTTTCAGAAAATAATCAAAAAATGAATAAATAAAACTATAACATTAAAAAAATTAATAAAAAAGGACTACATGCGAAAAGAAGTTCTAGTGTGACTCAACACCGAAAATGGTGGCAACTATGCAATAATTTTTTTACTGTGTAGGAATAAAAAACAAAACTTAAATAATCTTAAAAAAATATAGTACTTTAACTAGCTGTCAAAAGCTGTTCCTAGTCATAACCAGTAAAAGTGCACATTTTGACAATTATCGGTTAATATTTTGAGAGGGAGCTGTTGTTGCCAATTTTTAGTCGTAGCTTTCGTAAATAATAATTGTTAACCTAATTTTGTTGTCTGCATTTTACTAAAATAGATATTTATGTTATAAAAACATATCAAATAATTTCTCAAAATTATTTTCTTGCTTATGATTACGTAACTTTACGATTTTAAAGAAGGGCTACGGTTTTTTGTAACAGTAAGAGAGAAAATTCAGCATACGCTGCAGTCACGTTTCTAGCCTTGACATGAGCGAACCTTTGAACACCTTTGAACTTTAAAAAGATCATGAAGCGTGAGTCATATGTTCTTAATACATAAATATTTCTTATTAAATTACAGGCAATA